CTCTGTTAAGCAAGTGGAGACCTTACCACTTGGCCATAAATCTAGTCAGCAAAACAATTCGCACAAGACTTTGAGGCTTGTGAAGCCCTTGTGCCGGTATGAATCGATCCGAAAACTACTGCAGAATCGGTCCAACGTTAACATTAGGCCTACTTACTTAGGACGACTTGAAGATGCAGAGTCAAATGAAACTGGACCGAATGCGTCAGTCCGCCAACGGATAATTCACGTAGTGCAGTACGAAAATTAAATTATGGTGTAACCACACGATGAAGGCAGAAAAAAAAGTATTGGAATGTTCATGAAAGCCATGCACAGCCAGTGGCTGCATTGATTGCAGGAAGGAGACGCATAGCACTAGGAATGGAAGCTGCCATTGGGCCTCTTCGTCTCCGGCTTCGACTTCTCTCTCAGACGAGATGCCTGCTCGGACATATCCACTATGCTGCGACTGCTTCCAGGCAATGACAGTTCTTTTCGTCGAGCCGGGGGGCTCGACTCTTTCTGAATTTCCGTCGTTCGCTCTGACTACCCCATCCTGGATGAATCAGGTCTAAAACTTACAGACCATACCCTTTGGTTCGCGATATGAGCCACTCCTTCCAGTAGGAGGAAGGGGAACTCCCGAGGCGTAAGGGCACGTAACCAGAGATATGATAACACTTGGAACCTTAACCCTCTCAAGGTGGAATTTCGAAATCGGCAAGTGAAGCACGAAACTGATGTCATGAGTTTGTCATACCGAACAGAAACGATCGAAGGCTTCTTATTTCTGCGTTCAGACCGAGCTTTTTTTTCTGACTTGATGCCGATTGGAATCACCCAGCACCAGAGATTAAAAAAAAAAATAGGTATATTCTGAGTGATAATGCACAAATAATATACAGATTGGCCAAGAAAAAGCCACACTTTTCAATGCTCATTACAGGCGCTATGCTTTCAATGATATTTTCCCGGTTACATGTAATGGAAAGAAGAAAGACTGGGGGATGGATTTTTGAACAGAGCATTATCCGATAATGCAGCTTTATTCCAGGGAAAATACATGATATTTTCTGGAAATAAAGCAGCATTATCGGATAGTTCTCTGTTCAAAAATCCACCCTTAGCAACAAAATGCTTTTTCCAGACTTGAAATATCTTAAACAGTGACTTAGAAAAAATTTTATTGAATTTCGACTACGAAAAATCGGCGTTACCCGACCCAACATCACCTTCACGGCCCGGCCACTAGCGAGGATGATTGGAGGCGATGATTTTTCGTAACCGAAATTCAATCATTTCTTTCTAAGCCACCGCTAAAGATATTTCAAGTCTTGAAAAAGCGTTTTGTAGCTAAGTCTTTCTTCCTTCCATTACATCAAACTGGAAAAAAATATCCTTGAAAGCATCACACCAAAAATGCGCATTCAAAAGTGTGCTTTTTGTTGGGCCACCATGTAGAGATTGCACAAAGCAAAAAAAAAAAAAAAATCATTATTTCTCGTCGAACACACGAAAGCAATTTTAATTTTCGATCACACAGAGTGGAACGTTGCACTCTTGAATTAGACCGCAGATTTAAACACTATTGTGATTTCATTCATCACTCGTGGCTCTCTTCCCGTTATGGAAGTGCTTGTCCGGTAAAATTCAAGTGATCGTATCTTTTGTCACACCCGATTCTCCGAATCCTTGTAGGGGAGACCTGTCTCCTTGGACTGCTTAACCTGTTTAAACAGGTTAAGCAGTCCAAGGAGACTCCTGTTAATCATGGAGGAGGCATGGTTCAAATTGAGGCTTCGCTCAATAGGGTGAGGTCCCCCCTACAAGGATGAACCTTTTCCACTCGAATGGGCGAGTATACTCGCTCATTGGTACTTTGACTCTTGCACTCGTTTGGTGCAGTATAGTATACCACAGATCAAAAGCCTCTTCATTCACTCGGGTGGGTCACCTTGCTGCACCAAACTTATCTGCCATGTAGTATAATGACTTGGCTATTGGTATAAAAGATTTTCTTAGTACACGCGCCACGCAGCGTCTGCTAACATAATTAGTCATTGGCTTGTTTTAATTAGTTGGATTGGCAGTAAATTATACTTGAAAGTAAATTATGTTCATTAGTAATTTTGTATAATATCTCGAGTTGACAGGAAAGGTTACTTCATTCCATCCATCCATCACATTTATTAACAACTTAGGTTGCATCGCCAGAAGGCTTTCGATTTAGAAATGCCGGAAGAACAGCCACCACCCGATACTCATCTCTCCGTCACACGAACTTCCCTCTCCACCACCCGACATACCTCACCACCCAACACTCCCCTCACCGATTCCTCGCCCGGTGGCCTTTACTCTTCCTCTAGGCTCCTACAACTGACAACTTTTTTCATTTTCATTTTCATTTTTTCGTTTTATGTGGTAAAAAATACGAGCTACCGGAGAAAACACATGAAAAAAAATTCGAGTGGAAAAGGTTAAGAGAATCGGGTGTGAACAAAGATACGATCACTCGAGTTTTACCGGACAAGCGCTTCCATAGCGGGAAGAGAGCCATGAGTGATGAATGAAACCAAAATGGAGTTCAATTCTGGAGCGGAAAGTAAAGGCCTCAAAAGATGACAATCGGAGAAAGTATTGCTCCCTAGGCCAGTGCTTCGCAACCGGTGAGCTGCGACAAAGTCCCTGATGTGTCGCGGTATTTTCAGAAATATAGGAAAAGAAAGAACATCACAGTGTGTGATTATTCTCAAGCTACGGCCGACCGACGTCGGTCGAATTCACTAGTGTGTGATGAAATTATTCACATTGACAAGGTGAAATTTGGTTCGGTGTGCCGCGAGGATCGAGCAAACTCGAAAGCGTGCCGTGAAATAAGGCAAGGTACCCGGCAGGGGAGCTCAACAATTATGTACAAATATAGAATCTCAATCGAAACCTCTTTCAATCGCCTGATTGTCATGCTGCACGTCAGCATTTGACGTTGGTCCAACGTGGGGCCGCGGGGCAACCCCAGTAGCACCAGGTATTGGCTCGATGCTGAACCGACATTGGGTACGTTGGCTACATCTTGGGCAATATTCCCAATATAGGCTAAATATTGGCTCCCCCAATATTGCCATTCCATCAACGATCCAATGGGAACCAACGTTGGGCCCACATCGCAAATGTGGAATTCCAACAAAGGTCCAACGTTTGCCTAACGTGGGTGTGCCACCAGGGTCGGTACTGATCGGTCGGCGACTTCAGGTCTCGGGTGCAAAAACGCAATTCGAACACAAAGATGAGATTAGCTTTATCGATGCGCTTGGAAGTCGATCTCAAGTGCCCAAAATTCCTCATCACGGCCTGAAATGATCCTGGTGATGATCTCACTTTCTCTTACCTAAAGCGGTTGCGCACTCCGCTCGGATGAGAAATGGAGGCCAATCGACCATGGAATTTCTCATCCGTGCTAAGTTGGTGTCGAAGAAAGACAGCTTGTCGGAAAGGGAGACAAGTCAACGGTAACTTCTCTAAATTCCAAAGCTAACTTCCCTTCCCCCCCCCCCCGTTTTTCCCGGTGCGGGAACCCACTTGATCGAGAAAGGATTGATTTCCCTTGTCGGCGTGCTTGAATGGCTCGGCTTAAAGCGAACTAGGCTCCCACGGCAAACAACGGCGCCGACATCGAAACCCAAGTCCGAGCAACCCAAAGACTCACGATGCCTGCTGGCTACGAGATTCGCCTCGGACAGAAGCGAAACGGCCTCAATCCATCCACTTCCTCTGCTCAGCTGCAACCGAGCCATGAACACCCGAGCCTCCTCGGAGGCCTCCGCTCCTCTGCCCGTGAAAACGTGCAGCCTGCGAGGCCGATCGTTAATGCTTGCTTCGGGGCGAGGCGGACGCCCGACACCGACTCTTCGGATGTCCGGCAATAAACGATGCTGAAATTTTCATTTTCCACTTAGGGTTCATAGAGCGTCGAATGAGCTCGACCTACTCAAGCTGGCGGGGAAATGTCCTTTTCGTTCTTGCAAAACTTTCTAGTATGGTTTCCGTGATTCACCGAAACGATATTTCTGACTTCAAAACGTAGAATGAGAGCACGTGTCAGAGCACATAAGGGAAATAAATTATTTCCAGAAAACATTGCAGGGTTTTCATCAGGCATGGAGAGAATGACAAAAAACTAGGACAGATTGATTCCTTTTTTTTTTCTTCTCGGCTGTGTAATTCGGGCTACCCGAGTCAAGGGCATGGCACAGAGTCGTTACAAGATGTTCTAAAAAAATTCGTACATCCCGTAGTTTCGGCACGATCTGAAAAAGAGCCCGGACGAACTCCCCGGCGTCCGTCCACTCTTCGAGCACGAAAACGCGGAAGAGGTCTCCATTCCCTCGATCTGGTGAAGGCCGAATGAGCTTAAACCGAAGTTCGGATAATTTTCCGAACACGGCATTCGTTCATCGTCTTCCACAAGAGCGATGTTCGCGACGATGCCCATCCTGAATTTACCTACGAGGTCTTGCGCCACTCCGACACGAGCATTCTGAGTGGGGAGATTTAGCATGAATGAAAAGACCCTTGGGGAACCGATGACCGGTGGAACACGACGAAGATGAGAATAGTCACGAAGATACTGGAGCGTTTCCACTTCCAATTCTTACCATCCACATCGGCCCGCGTGAAAGGCGCTACAAATCGAGAGACATCCGATTCCCCCCTGCAGGATTTCTCTTTCGGCAAGAGCCCTCCTCCATCCCAATGCGCTTGGTAGCGAAGCGGGCTCCCTTCGTGGGAGTTCCGCCCACGCGAGGGTTATTGCGGGACCGGAAGGGCCATTGTGTCCCTTTGCCGATCTAATCCATTAGGAAATGTGTCTGTAATTGCCGTCATTCTCCATACCTAAAAGGCCATTCAAAGTTTCCACCTCGATCGACCCTACCGAAAGCCTTTGCGGCAGTTTTCGTCACTGAGGTTTGCCTGGATACAGAGCTCGTTGCGTCGACACAAACCCCACACAATCGTGCGAACTTTCGTGACGACCATGACTCCTTCTGTCCCCATAACGTCGATGTGTGAGTTTCTTGCACGTTGCCAAGCTTCGAATTTCACGATGAGAGTTGGAAAAGTAAGATTTTTATCTCATCCTCAAGGCGTCCTCTTGTGGGCGGCACTGGTGGTCTTCTCCGACGCACAGTCTACCGAACGGAACGAAGTGAGGGCCGACCGCCATCAGATTCTAGACGGTCTCGTCAGTTCCGTTAATTTTTTTTCAACCGATTTCGTTTCGTAGGTGGCGACGGACTTCCCGTATGCCCTGGACGTTTGCCAATGCAAGTTGAACGACAGTCTGCGGGTGGAAGTACGGAACCAGAAGATTCAGGAGGGACTTCTCAGTCAGGTACCAGCGTCTCTCGCCGAAGAGGCAGATCCTCATTTAACCTTTCATCCGCTACCGATGCAAGAACGACCGAATGTATGATGCACAGTGCTCGAAATGAGGCGCGACGGCCACCGAACTCAGAATCATTGGCCCGAATGCACGAACCTCATTTAGGGAAGATAAAGGGATCTTTAAGTTAAAGAGCTTCTTTTCCCCCCATAGGAGTCCATGGGTGGATTGCATACAACTGACTTTAGCGTAATGGAGCTTTAAACCTCCTTTAGCGCCACTAAAGGAGCTTTAAAGCTCCATTACGCTCAAGTCAGTTTTATGCAATCCACCCCAAATCTTCTTAGTTCTAAGGATCGTTAACACGTTGGCGACAATGCGTCCTGATGCCAGGATTGCGTGGTCCCACGCGGCGGACAAGCAAAAATAGGCTGGTCGTCAACGTGTTAACTGAAGGAGATCGCAACATTTGGGCCTTCCACTCGACCGTAACCGGCGATGACTGCTTCCGCCACCCCCCTCACCGCCACGAGACACATTGGGTCTGAGTCTGCAAGGCACGGACGAGACCTCCTTCGCTTCGACTAGGGTCTGCTAGGGTATTTATCTGCCATTCCCATAGGTACTATGGCGAAATGGCAGATATTGCGGTCAGTCTGTCACTTTTTTTTTTCGTTCCGTCTGTCCGCAGTAACCATAGCGACGGACAACACGACCATTGCGCACGCGCAGCTTCCCGCCTGGGTCGGGGTGCCCGTCTTCCACGAAAACATCCACTTCCCTTCCACCCCTGGTAGTTGACGGATCCATAGTAGACAATGGAGGAGAGCGGCTGCTCCCGGTCGCCTAGACAGGGTTTTTAGGCGTACGCGTGAAATGCCGTATCTGGCATTCTACACTTCGTACTGTCCTCCCGTCTCCACGCGACGCGGACGCGCGGATTATCGGGAACATGTCTTGTTGTTCAGGCCTTTTCATATAGGCCTACGCCGAACCAATGACAGCTATTATTTATTTCAAGGTTGGATGGTTAGGATGCGGTGAATACATATAATAATTTCAGTGGTACAGGGACCAGTGGAATGGCAGATCTGTACCTGGGTTGGTGCTCTCTAATTTCGAACTTAAATTGAATGCAGCCGAATCATTAGGGAATAAATGCTTCTCGTCTTCTGGCTTCTTTCCCCAAAGACAGAAGTTTTTGCAAAGAATGCCTGGAAGCTCTCGCCCAAAGGTTATCGACGAGACGAAAGATTCACCTGGGATGATATAAGATTAGACTGGCGAGCGAATTTTCGCGCGAACAAGGAGATTTACCGACGAGAAAGCACATTCATCTATCCGTTCTTCATGATAGACGGATTAGGATTTTGGCCACTTTCGATCCAATCGGCCATTTGCAACCGGTGCAAATTGTTGGAAGGATCGGAAGCTTCAGCCGTAAAATTCTTGTTTGTGCAGTCTAGCCGAGAACTTCGATCGATGCAAATTTCCATATAAAGACGCAATTACAGTCGCAGTAAAAGTTCCACACGAGTATCGATTTGGTTCTTAACTTGGGGGGGGGGGGGGGGAAACTCCCATTTTGAGCACTGAAGCATGCACGACGCCCTGTTAAACTTGTCAGGTGGAGCAGAGATCGAAGAGACAATCATCCTCGACGACCTACAAGCCGCTGCCGCAGGAGTACCAGAGCGTCATCTTCCACTTCAACCGGACTCGCAGCCTCTGCCCGTGCAGACACAGTTCGCACGATCCCTTCTTCTCGTCCCGGCCGATGTGCCAAAATCTTCACGTTCGTTAACGTTCTTCCTTTTTTTTATTATAGAGAAGACGATCTCCGCGATCGTGCGACTGCAAGACGCCAACTGGAGGGAAGAAATGCGAGACTACGACTCTTCCTACTTCCACGTTCTGGAGGGACGAGTGGAAATGGCCGTACGTTTCCCGAATGCAATTCCTCTTATCGTACTTTCTCGAACGCGAAGCGATGTAGACTCAGACGCATTGTCTCGCTCGTCTGTCGCGGTTTGACTCGAACGGGAGCCGGAATGATGCTTGGCACAGCTGAAAATCATCGTCGAGCAAATCTGAAATTCGTTTGAATGCGCCGTGCCATAAACGTGACTCGGCGCAAACGTTTCACGGGGAAAAGGCTCCGACGAATCCTGTTTCCGATAATTATGAAACTCGTTTGGTGACTCCTTCGTAACTGACGTTATATAGCGAAAAAATCCAAATTCACTATTTGACCGAAGTCGTAGCACGCGATGCATTCGAAGACTGGAATTTTCTTCAGGTACGTAGGTTCTGATCGTCGATATTTTTGCGATATTTTCTTCGCGTCGTCGAATAGAATTATTGCACTCGGGGCATTCCTAAGATGCGACATCGGCTTCCGACCGACGAACGATGCCGGCCGACGAACTCTAAGCAACGAATTCCTCTGACCTCGTCGAGATCCGCCAGGGCAGCGATCGAGGGTTCTCGGAAAAGCCCTCAACGATTTTTCAAACCCGAGTGAGGCAGGCCAAAGGCTTACCGAAGGTTAAACTCGTGACACGAACGAAAAAACCGTCGACGAACACAGCAAATTGCACTTTTTCGTAAGCGTGTCCGCTCTAGCACCTAAACCGCTGAATATAGTAATCCGAATATTTTGCACACCGATCCCTTAGCATCCGAGGATTTTATCCTGCTCGCGAGACAAGACTTGCTTGGATGCGCCGTTTTTCTTATTTTCGCGAAAAACTTAATTTTCCAATGAAAGATAGAAGCTGCCTATCGAATAAGATAAGACTTATGAGAGGAAAGAGCTGCAGCCCTGCCATCTGGTATTTACCCTACCAAACAAGGTTTCCACGATAGGAGAATGATGGCGAATGAAGAAGAAAAATCCCGCTCGAGCTTCGAGGGGATAAAAAATAGTCTCGTCCCCGTGGAATTCTTTTTTTTTCCTTGGTGGTTTTTCTTAAAATTTAGAAAAAGGTTACCCGTTGGAAAATGCAAAAAAAAAAAACTAATTTTAGAGCTGGGAAAAAAAATGCCAACTCTCCGGGATGGTTTTAGGATCTTTCTGGGATATCTTTTTTTTCAGATACTAAGAAAAGATGAGGTGGAGCCTTGTGCGAATAAAATATAGTACATAAATAGAAATATAATTTCTGACACTCCTGTTTGCCCCCGACTTAGTCTGCATCTAGTAATCGTCCTAACGCGATGCCTAAAAACCGAGGAGTAGTCCTACGCGCTTCACAAATGAACCCTGATCAATACGAATGTGAAATGAATCTCATTCCGCCACGACCTTAAAGTAGGTCATACATTGCCCATGACGTCACCCTTGAGATAGTTGTTTGAATAGTTGTTTGAATGTTAGAATGTTCGAATGGAAAGTTAGTTCTTCCAGCAGGTAGCTGGAGGACCCTTTCTAAGAGAAGTCCTGATGCGAAAGCAACCGTGCTTCATGATTTTTTAGTTCCGAGACTTATCCGACACCTGATAAAAACAGGTGAGATCCACTGAAGCATGTATACTGTCACTGCGGGTCGAATGGCAGGACTGCTGGAAGCGCTTCACCTCGTCGAGGGAGAACTTCCCCCCCCTCCCCCTCTCCGCTTTCACCTTGGACTGCACTGGGTGCGGTTGGGAGCTGCACGGACGCGGAACTTGGGTCACGCGACTGGTCGCAGAGAGAGGTGCCTATTGAGCGCATGCGAGAATCACAAGGGCGGGAAAGCTAGTGCAAGGAAGAAAGAGATACTGCACTTTGACGATGCTCCGGTCCCAATGATTCCGAGGAAAAGATCAAGACGAATTAAAAATCATAAATACACGTAGCTTTTCGAGTAGAACCCACAACCGCGTATCCCCTGGATAAATGCGACGTAGAAAACGACTTCGATTTTCATATAAACGAAAAGTAACCGAGTTTCCAACCTGCCGTTTGAGTAAAATAATTGGGATGGATGCAAAATTTCTTCAGGATGAGGGACTCAAAGGCATTGCAAGGCGCAGAAAATGTCAAATTACTTTCATGCCGCAGGACATTCTCTGAGCTTCCGACCTTATGATATCCAGTGTTCGTTTTGAGTTCCGGATCCGGCAGCACTGGCGGTTGGGCATGATCTCTCGAAATGGACTACTTTTTTTCAGGTTTTGAATCTCATGAGTTCATGGAAATATGACGTGCTCTGACCTTCCATTTACGGTTGGGATTCCGTCCACGATCCAGATTCATATATGAATCTCGAGTAGGGTTGCCAACTTTGAATTTGACAAAATATGGACAAATATTTGAAATTACCCACAGACACCTTAAGTCAAGGTGCCAATCGATACTGAGTGTGGCCTGCTGCTTTTGAATTACGGAAAATAACAATATTAGCTGCTATTAAGCCAGTGGCGTAGCAACCGCCCAAGCAGCCCCCGCAGTTGCGGGGGGGCCCAGGCCTAGTGGGGGCCAAAAATTCCCATCGAACATGCGAAAATTCTCTTAATGTTAAGAAATATTTGGAAAAGCAAAAAAAAAATATCAAATAAAAGCAAATGGTTACCGCCCATAGGGGAGGGGCCCTGATCGACTCTTAACGTCAAATTATCAACCCAACAGAGGCGAGTGTGAACTTGTTTACTTGTCTTTGGAGAAGGCAGCACTCCCAACGTTAGGCCATATCATTGCAAGTTAATTTTATGGAATATCTGCACCCTGTCGGGCGCCGTGCAAATACAGTGTGTGTCTTTTAAAAGTGTCCCATACTTGTGCTGGCCTAGCCTATGGCCTATAATAGCATCGCCTTGTAGGCCTAACGCGCAAGGCCAGCACAAGTATGGGACACTGTATGAACATACATGAACTGAGAGAAAAAAGGGTCACTTGCGGTTAACTTCGGTGGGGAACACCATCATTCAGTAGTTGAGTTCATCTCAATCAAAGGGTATACAGATCGTAAACTTAAAAAACTTTTAAGTTATTCTCAAACCACAAGTACAAACACCCTTGTGTTTATGATGAGTAGCAAGACCAGTGGCGCTGCAAAGAGGAAAAAACGTCGGCAAGCAGATCGAGAGCTATGAAAAGTAAAAAAGAT